CGAATAGTTGACTATTCTTTTTCAGGAGAACAAAGAAGAATAGTCAACTATTCGAAAGCGCTCGAGTTTTGGGTCTTATTTTAAGTTCATTTATAACGATTAGTACGCAATGATTCATCAGTTGGACTTACTTTGTCTTAGCGCAAAGCTACACAATAGACTATTTGCTCTCTGTCCACCACTGAGAATCGAATTCCGAGTTTTAGCATTGTAAATCCGTAGCCTTACCGCTCACCTATTGGGAGACCATAAGTTCGGCACCTTCACTTTTATCCATATTTTAGGCTATAATCCTAATAATATCCCATGAGGTTCGACCCAGCTTAGGAGATTTATGTAATCCCAGATCGAATTAATGAAGCCAACATTATAGAAAGATTATAATATAACTGTACAATGTATAAGAAATATCAATATTATCACGCTTTCAAGAAATAGGGAATCACTGATAACGTAGTGTTTATGTGTCTTGAAATTAAAGTTATACTCAACTATTTAACGTTAATACTTACGGATGTAAATTTTAATAGCCTCTTCGTTAAACAAATGTTGTTTCATAGCCAGATATGTTAATCGAAAGTTATGTTCCTGATATCTTTGGCAGTGATGGGCCTGTGGTGAAAACGGTTTATGATACAAGTAAACCAATCACTAAGCGATGTAGCTGGCTATAACAACGGATCGGAAACAACGTTTACGTCCATTTAATATCGATTGTGAAATTAATTAAAATGTTAATTTTTGATTTACCAATAATTCATACAGATCGGTAAAAAAAATGTTATTAAATGGCCAATGTTATTAAAAGTCAGCGTATAAAAATAAACATTCGGCATATAATATAACGTACAACAAAATGTATATCGTAAGACAAGTTTAGTTTAAAAAAATATATTCTATAAAGAAAACATTGTGATACTGAATTTAAAGTTCGTGTTTTTTTTATAATTATTTATTGTTTTCATTTGAAAATAAAGGACTTTATTCATGTTACGTTGCAACATAAAAATTTAAACCAAAAGTTTTGTAAATATTATTGTATTTAATTTATTTCTTGAATATTGGTCATTCCGAAGCCAGTTTCACGGGCGTGGTGCTTCACGTAGTATGAAGGTGTACGTTTTGTGTTTCAACATAAATTTAGAATATAAAATAATCACTAGTAGTGTTCACTTGTTATTGTTTGTTTGTTTTTTTTTTGAATACCTTGGATGGATAATAATACAGTTTTATTGCTTTCATATATATATATGAAAAATTTAAACAAGTAAGTAAAAATTTTTGATTTACATATGATATGTTTAGATATACGTGTATAACTCATATGACCTGTAGATTTGATACTACTATGGGTATATAGGGTCTGGCCTGACCTGATGGTTAGGGATCTAGACTTGCAATTTGCGTGTCGCGGATTCCAATTCCGTCACCGAACAATAGAGGCGTTATGATGTTACTGTCAATCCCACTTTTCGTTCGTAAAAGAGTAGCCCAAAAATTGACGGTTGGTGGTGTTGACTAGCTGTCTTCTGTTTACTTCTAAATTAGAGATAGGTTGCGCTCGAGTAGCTTTGTACGAAATTCAATAAAAACAAAACAAACAAGCAAATAAATTATGAATATATGAAGGTAAAAATATGAAGATTTGCAAATGTAGAGATATAAAGATTGTATAGCCTTTATGAATATAAAGATTATACAGCCGCAATGAATATACGAATTTGTATAGCCTCTATAGATATAGGCATTTCATAGCCTCCGTGGATATAAAGATTGTATAGCCTTTATGAATATAAAGATTATACAGCCGCAATGAATATACGAATTTGTATAGCCTCTATAGATATAGGCATTTCATAGCCTCCGTGGATATAAAGATTTGTACACACTCTACGAATATAGAGATGGTATAGCATCTACAAAAATAGGCATTTCATAGCCTCCGTGGATATAAAGATTTGTACACACTCTACGAATATAGAGATGGTATACCATCTACAGATATAGAGGTTGTAAAACCTTTATGGATACAAAAGTTTGTATAGCCTTTGTGGATATAGAAGTGTGTATATCCTCTTTGAATATTGAGAAATAGAAGCCGATAAGGGTAAAAATATTTGTAATATTGTTATAAATATAGATATTTGTAAAGTCTCTGCGAGTAAAGAGGTTTGAATAACTTCTATGAAGGTATAAGTTTATGTAGCTTCTATAATTGCAGAGATTTTTATAGCGTTTTTAGATGTAAAAATTGATATGATTTCGCTATACATACATATTTATTGCAATTTGTATATTTTCGATAATTGCTTTAATATCTTTTAGCTGTTAGAGATAAATGGAGATTTCTTTACGAACTGTGAATATGGAAAATCATTTAACTTATTTGTATAGATACATATGGATAGTTGTATAGACTATAGAGAATATCAATAAGCCCGTTATCAGCCATGTTGCAGAACTCACTCTCTGTACTAACACTAGCAGTGTATTTCACACAAAGTTAAACCACTTTAAGTCATCTATAGTGTCCTAAAAATCCTCATCTTTTTTTTTTTCTAAGAGTTTCGATAAACATCATCTATTGATCCACGATGCAGAAGATGATGGTTTCTTTTCCGTACTTCTTCGTTCGCCCCGGCTCATAACTGAACCAATGCCCGAGCTCAGGTTGCCCTATAGCGTCATTCCTGTCTTTCTAACCAGGTAATCGAAATTCACGCGCAGCCAAGCTACGCTGGGAGACCGGCGCCCGTGCTGCAAGCGACAAGTAAACCCAGTTACAGCCACACAACCAAGAGTCTCTTGGATTGAAACTACTGCTTTATTGAAGTCAGCAAATACCTGGACAGAAGAAGCAAACTAGGAAAACAATTCTCCCTCATCAGGACGGTAAGATCAGAAAAAAACATTTTACCAGTGGTTAACGTAGAGTGTGCGATTGAGTCTTTGATTAATGTACAGATTTGATTTAGAATATTCTGTATTTTCGCTATTCTTTGCAGCCTTTTACCATACGAATCATTAGTTGTTGAGGAATACAATAAAATGTTTATTACTTATTCAACTTATTCTTGGATTAAAAAATACTATCAAGACCTACCAGTCCGCTGTATCTACATCAGTTTAGCGTTAGTTGTATCAACAGAGAGTCTACAAGTTCTTGGACCGGGTTCTGTAAGAATCTCTCGTAAAATGACTGAAACAGTCTTGTTGTTGCACACGTAAAATGGAAAAATTTTAGAATATAAATCAGCATTAATCGAGAACTAAAAAAAAACACCTATTGATTAGAATTGTTCTTGTGTTAGCACTGAAAAAATACTAAAAATAATTACTTCATTTTTTATCTATTATCTATAAACTCTTAGATTTTAAACTATGAAAACTATACTCTACGCTTAAATCTTCGTGTAAGATTATAGCTATGTTTATATCGAGCACTATTTTTATCAACACAAATGTTTCTTTTGTCGCCCCCCCTTCAGTGGCTCGGTAGTAAGTCTGTAAGCTTACGACGCTACAAATCAGATTTCAACCTGTGGTGGGCAGAGCACAAATAGCCCATTGTGTAGCTTTGTGCTTAACAACAATAACCAACCAACCTTTTGTCGGTCTACGTAAATGTTTCAAGTAAAAATATCTTGAATACAATATATTATCCAACATAACCAGTTGCAAGCGCATTTGTAGCTACTGTTTGCCGTCTTTATAGACAATTGTAAAATTACCACAGTTTAACTGTGTCTAGAATCATTGAAACAAAACTCTTTGAATTATTTTATTATAAACACTGTGATTTATTTTCTCTGTTAAAAACTAATATGCGTATATATATATATATATATACTGGTGTATGTGCAACTATATACTTGTTATTGTTTT